TGAAACCCACGACTAAATACTGTCTTATAATTAAAGTTTGATTGAATTAAAAATGAGCGTTTGATGAATAACAGGTGTAGCATAGTATATGTATACAGTGGTGTGTACTTTCATGACAAATTTAATAGTTATCCTACAAAACCGCCACGGTACTCAGAAATGTGTGATCATGATGAATATACACATTTTATTTATTTTAGTTCAGTGGTTTAAGTGGGGGTCTAGTTGTCGATCGTCAGTTGCGGTCCCAGAGGGGGGGGGGGAATGGGAGCGATATCCCCCCTGAAATATTTTATATTTTATTGGCTAACATAAATACTATTAGCTTGAGCATATTTAAGCACTCAAATACGTATAAAAGTACGTTTTTAGGCTATTAATTCCACATTTTTCCCCGGACCCTCCTTTTTCTGAGGAATATTCCATCCCCCCGACCCCCTGGTGGTCACCCCCCTGAAATTAAATTCTGGGACCGCCACTGTCAAGCGTATACTTTATACAATCCATAAAATCCTGAGTTCAAATCCTGCCAATCACCAATTATTATTCGATAGCCAACCCTCTTGACCTAACCTGAAGAAATATGTAAAAATGTTGAACGCCAGCGCAAACCTAAAACGTTTATGTTAGCGTGTAAGCGTTAAGGGAGGATATTAAAAAATTAATAATAATAAATAATCAATGTTTTTTAGTTAAACACTAGTGGCAGCTTTAACATGCAATACAACCTCAACCTCAACATCAGTAAGGGATGTATCAGCAGGCTGTGATGTTCAGCTTGTGTGGTCTCCTCTGTCCATCTCAGATGGATCACTGATGGAATTATTTACCACTGATGTTTAATTCATCTGGGGAGCCGATCACGGCATCCGTCTTCACTACTCTTGTCTGTTGAACCGTGGATTGGTCTCGATATATCCACCATCCACCTGACACTTGACAGATGCCAATATAACTTTCCAACAAAATGTCACCCCCTTTGCTTTAGTGAGTTTGTATAAAATCAATTGAACTTTTTTTAATTATATACAAGGTGTCCCGGCACTCTCTACCAATATTTTAGGGCATTGTTACATATTTAATTTGTCTGGAAGTCCTGAGTTACTCACACAGCCACCATTTTGTTTTTTTTTCACTTATTAGTTTTTGTCTAAAAATTGGTTAACATATGATTTAAATTGAAACTATGCGGAAAAATTTAGGACAACTAGACAAAGCTACAAAAAAATTATGACATTTTTCCAAATTCATAAAACAAAATGCCGGCCATAAAATAAAAATTTTGGAAAATAAACAGTTTTTGAGTAATTTTAGAAACAAAATTTTAAATGGTCGCCATTTTGTTTTATGAATTTGGAAAAAACCATAATAAGATTATAAAAGAAATTTATTGTTTACTTTTTTTATATTAATACCCTGCCGCAGCAAACCTGCTGACTTAGCTTATTTCCATTTGCCTGATTTGATTTTCACTTGAATATACAGTATTTAAATAACATTAGGTTTAACATACTTAGGTTTGCTGCTACAGGGAGAGTAATAAAGTGTGTTTTAGTAAAATAAAGCTTAGTACAAAATAAGTCAATTTGCCAAGATGGATCAAAATACAGTATATCCATAAAAAAGCAAACTACAACAGTTTACTTATTCACCAAAAGAATAACATACTTACTTACAGCTGGGGCGCTACAAATCGCAGTCGATTCTTCGCGATAACATGGTTATCTTAAATTTAAAATTGTTTTGAATTTTCCCTGCACCCAATAACTGTACAAAAACACTTCAATATACTTAATTATTTGGTTTTTTAAGCTCTTAAAATGGTTTACAGAGAAATACCGTTTTTTACCTCATAAAACCTCGTTCCCATGGTCCGATCATGCTGGTTGTTGAACTCGTTTGAATAAACAGATTTACATGTTTGTACAAAATTTTATTGAAATTGGTAGATTTTTGCTCAAGTCATCGAGTTAAGGGACATATATACTGTAAAAATAAATTTGAACGGATGCGGATGGTTTTAAAGCCACTGGGGACGTCAACACAAAAAAAGTAAATAAAAAAACTTAGCTTCAAAATTTACAATGAGATGAGAAGTCTACTTTTTGTTGATTAGTCTATAGTAATACTGTTTTTTTAGCAAGGATTTATGTTAGTTTTGTAGACTACTGGAGTGCTTAGTACTGTAAGTAGCTCTCATCTATTTGCTAAAAAGATCATTTTCAGAACATAATACTGTTTTGACTGTAATGTTCATTGGAGTCAAACAATTAAAACATAATTCAGTAATGTGCGAAGGCTGTGTTTAATATATGACTAATGTGTGATGTGTTCTTAAATCCAAAGAGTTAAGCTGAGAGCAATCATTTTCAAATTATAAAACACAAACATGACAATAGAAGTGATATTCTGGGTCAAATGACCACTTGGCTGGCTAATGCCTCTTTGTCTACTGACATTTTGTCAAATGTTAGACCAAAGAGCAATGCTGCTGTGTGACATTTAAACCTCCCCTCCCCATCCACAGAGCATAATTAAACTGCATCAATACAATAAGCTACCCTCATTAGCGATTTTGGCAATCAATTGATTAATGGTGTAAAAGTTAATGGGAATTTTCATTTCGTAATTATCATAATTGGCGTGATGTAAAAATACCAGTAGTAAATGTTTATTTTGGTTGATTTTAATGTTTTTTGGGAGTAAGATTAAGTTTTTGGTAGGTACCGGTAGTTGTGTTTTAATAAAATTTGTTATTGCTTCAACAATTTCTTTTTTACTTGCCTCGAGCTTACTATCATTTTAATTACAATTTTTTAAATATGCATGTCTACTTCTTAAGGTGAGAAATGTTTTATTCAGAATTTTTTTTAAAAAGGGTATTGTAAGAGGTTGGCGGCTCCTTTTAAGTTTGCATTTGCCCTTCCACATAGACTGACCACCCGTGCGTGGATTGTATACAGCAAAGCAAGGAGTGAGCCGGTAAAGTACAAAGGCGATCTGTACTGATAAAATGTTTTCGGCATTGACCAGGATCTGAACCCACGACATCGCTGCCTTGTGCCCGAAGTCCGTGACGCTACCGACTCACTATATTTTAGAATGTATGACAATTACTCAATATCATCTTCATTATGAGTTATTAGATAAAACTATGGCTATTTTACAAGGATGGTTTCTGCTTTTTTGAATGAACATTCATTAGATTAAAACACATTTTTTCCTTTCTCCTCATATATGGAGAAAGTATTGTTTTCATCAAAATGTTCGAGTTTGAGCATCCCTTTTGAAATCCCTTTTGTGAACCCGAAAATGTGTTTCATCTTTTAGAAAGTGATATTTGTGAGTTTGTTTCTGTATGTGTAGGTGTATACACAGCTACAGACCACTTTTCGATGAAACGATTTTGATGAAATTTGGTGTGTGTGTGTAATTTTTATTTTTAATAGTAGTTTCCCCATAAGACAAAAAATGTTAAAAACTGCTCAAACAATTTTGATTAAAGTTTAATATTAATTTTAAAGTAATTTAAAATTAAATTTTTTTCATGTTTAGTCCTTGTAGTTCTTAACTAAACAGTACAACCCCCATTCCTGTAAAAAATAACGCTTCCAAAGTTATTGCAACTGATGTTATTTTCCCATAAGAAACCCAATAATAACGGGCAAATCTGATTTTTTTTATGGCTTGACCAATTTGGAATAACATTTAGTACTCTTTTGAACTCTAAACAAAACAGTTGAACCCCTTTTGCTGTAAAAATTATGTTCAAACTTTTTACATTACAAATTTGGTGATTTTCCCCATAATATTATAAAGTTATTCCCACAAGGGTTTTCGATAAGCTAATGGGAGAAATGATGTGTCAGATGGCTGATACAGTTTATTATTTTTGTATTCATGAGTTAAAGAAGTTTATTTTGAACTTACTTGTATATTAAAAGATCCATAACGTAGCTTTATTTTAGACTCTTATGAAGGAAATTAAAATTAATAAATTATATATATAGGCCCTAGTGTAGTTTCCATTATGCACATGTCATTCTTAAATATGTGAAGATATATTTTTTAAGTTTTCCTCACATTCCTTAATGAGATTGATTGAATGGTTACCGTTTGAAAACAAGCAGGATTATAAAAAGCAGTATCCACTTCAAAATAAGGTGTCACTTGAAGGGAGTTAAGACTTAAAATATTAGATGGGGGGTCTTTACTTTTTATTCACCCTGTTAAAAAAACATTAAAGTACACCAGACATATTTATTTTTTCAGTTTCATCATGGAAAATCTTTAGTTTTGAGCTAAAAAATGCTTAATCAAAATTACAATTGAAGCTCCACAACAGTTGAATAAACATATTCTAAGCGCCTTTGGAGCTAAACTTGGCTTAAAGCAGTATTGTAGGTAATTGACATAAAGTGGGATACAAGAGAGATTGAATAGTGTCTTTGATATGTTGGATAATGAGCCTATAATGAACCAGGAATAGCAAGCAAGTCTTGAGAGTAATGAGGGGTTTAATGGGCTTAATCATATACTTGGATACTCGCATGACTGATACAGACTATGTGCTAAAAGGAATTGTATTGCCTGTAATATGAAAATGATATTTGAATGTAGACATACATCTCATATATATTTTTGGTAATTTCTTTCTTCGGTGCTATATATTTAGCTAGAAATCTTTACTGTTGTTTGCAATGGGTTATTAGCAAAGGTTTATGAAAATAATAGCTTTAAAGCTGCTTTTACTACCACTGATAAAGTATCAACAATGGTTACAGAATTTTAGATACTACTATATCAATGAGGTACAGAATAAATGCACTAGCTTTACAAAATGTTGGACCTTACTATTTCAGATAAAAGTATTAAAAAAGTAAATCGGTCCCGGGTCTAGGTCTTACCATAGTAATAGTAACTATACAGTATTGCAGTATTTTATTGTTTGTTAGTATCGTAAGAATGGTTTAGGAAGGTTTAAAAGAAAAGACTAGACAGTTCAGAAATACCCTTCATTGCATAACAATAAGAGTAAGATTTTTTTCCAAATTTGGCACAATCAATGATATGTATATAAATTAGGCTATTATAACTATAAAGCTAATGGAATGTCTAAATTACACTAGAGACTGTTCTAATGGCTATTTTCACTCAATGGTGGCATGACCGGGAATTAAGGAATGCAGAGTTCACTATTGTTCACTATAGTTTGTGAACTTTGTGACTTCACCCTGTAAGACTCCAGTGAAAGACTCACTTGTGATGTTTTTACCACTAGGGCAAAAAGTTTTGCCTGGCAGAGTAGAGTAATATTGGTTTCCCTTGATTTTTAGTAGTGAAGTGACACATAAAACTATTGAAACTTGAGACAAAATGCAACGATTTACTGTTAAAAAATTTACCAGTAATAGAAAACAAGACTGTCAGTATTTATATTAATTATGAACATTCCCAACTTCTTCAACATTCAACTTAAAAGCCATTTATTACTGTTAGAAAAAGAATAAAACGTCATGTTTACTTACACCTTACACCATTACAAGGATTTTGCACCTACAGAATGTACTCAAGACCACATTTTTACGCCTTGTTTACGCCTTGAGGTGGATAAATTAAAATAAACTGATAAGGATTGAATTACTTATAAGTTATATTTAAATACCTTTCCTTACTGGAAGAAATGCAGGATTTAAGGTACTTTTAAGAGCAACAAATTTCAAAAGGCAGCCAATTTGTTTTTTTTTCTGAGTTGATTCTTTATGGAACTCCAATATAAAAGCTTTGATTTGATGGTTGAATAGCAAATTAAATTCACCTTGAAATTTAAAGAAAGATAATAGGGAATAAATAGTGATGTAATAGTGGTGGCATTACCCATTACCATTATTTAGTAGTACAGCAAATATCTAAATCTGCCATTCCTTAGATACCTCGGTTAAGGAACACTCAAACACGACATGAATTCATCTATTGACAAAATTTTGATTTTTTTCCTCATTTATCTTATACTTTTTACTATTGATATCCAATAGTCAATGCTTATAGTTTGAGGGAAAGTTATCCCACTACTTTTTTACTCAATATAGCACAGCTGATTTATATTTTGGCACACCTCAGCTGTTATTATTTTTAAAGGTAGGTTCAAGTGGAGGGGATAGATTTATTTCCCTAAAACCACCTAAATTTTGTGAACAGAGTATAGTCACACTAGTCACACTATCACTAAACAATTTTTTCAATGACATCAAATAAACTAACCTATTAAGTATGTAGCTACAAAATGTGTTATAACAGTGATACTATAAACTAAAATGACTGAAGAAAAGACAAGAAAGGCACCATTATTTGTTTCACTGAGTGTTTGACTAGTGAACTAAGTCGTTCTCTTCAGGTCTGAAGACCTGGACACCTCTTCCTGGTTGAGTGGCAAAAATGAGATTTTCTGTTTTCCGCCCCTCCACTTGGGGGTTGTCTGCGTAAAACTGTTGTTTAACAGTGTCAATGAACTTTCCCACATGATCCTCAGTGGTCAGCGCCACAATACAACCTCCCCAGCTGAAAGTTACATTACACAATATGTTACCATCTAGTTTCAGATCTGGCACATTAAAACACTTCACACTTTTACATAAGATGGTCCAAATACCTGCATAAAGTAACCCTAACTTTCTGTGGTGGATACTAGTTACTTTCTTACATTTACCTTTATAAAAATAAAAAACTATATGGGGCCTACATGTTCATTGCTTGGACACCATGCCACAAATTGTATAATTGCAAGTTTTTTGAAGAATTTACTTGGTTCTGGTCTTAAAAAAATACCACTTTATTAGGAATTATACAGGGTGCCCCAGAACTCTCTACCAATATTTTAGGGCATTGCTCCTGGGTAAGAATAATACCTAAATATCATATTTAAATTGTCCGGAAGTCCTTAGTTACTCACACAGCCGCCATTTTGGTTTTTTCAGTTATTAATTTTTTTTCTAAAGAATAGTTAAACATACGAAATGGAAACTTTGCACAAACATTTATGACAACTAGACAAAGCTACAAAAAAATTATGAAGATTTTTCAAATTCATAAAATAAGATGGCAGCCATTTAAAATTTTGTTTCTTAAATAACTCAAAAACCATTGATTTTACAAAAATTTTAAATGGCAGCCATTTTGTTTTATGAGTTTGAAAAATCGTCATAATATTTTTGTAGCTTTGTCTAGTTGTCATAAATGTTAATGCAAAGTTTCCATTTCGTATGTTTAACTATTCTTTAGAAAAAAATTAATAACTGAAAAAACAAAATGGTGGCTGTGTGAGTAACTAAGGACTTCCGGACAATTTAAATATGGTATTTAGGTATGTTTCTTACCCAGGAGCAATGCCCTAAAATATTGGTAGAGAGTTCCGGGACACCCTGTATACATCAAATTAAATAGCGAGCTCACGTTTCTGGGACTGGGATTGATGGTCGCCATTTCAGATTAAAGTATTAAAGAAACAAAACAAACTAACCCGTAGAGCATCTCTAGTACAAAGCATGGCCATTGTACATTGGCTTCAAATTTCAGGCCAAAAAACATAAATTCAGTACAGTACGTCATACCATACTCCCATACTCAGTCATTCCATACAATACTCATAGATTAAACATACTTCCTTAGTAGATTCGTCATCCTTATGTATCAGCTAAAGACAGTTTTTGTTATTTTAGTAATTTATAACCTCAATTAATCAAATAACACAATCGAACCATAAACAATAGCTCGCCTCCAAATTATATAGGTAACCAAACAGTAAAGTACAAATCATAAAATTAACCATAAAATATAAGATGCAAAATTTCGCTGACACTAGCACTCCAACATGAACTAGACATTAAATTAATCTTTAGTAGATTTTACAATGCGATGAGAAGTCTACTTGTGTTGGTTAGGATGATAAAGCATCTAGATTATATTCTCGAACAAAACAAATCAAAGGAATATATTTCAGCCAACCATACCGACCCTCAGGCTGGACGAGAGAATTACAGAATGAAAATGGAGCTTTGGAGTACTGATTTTTTTCTAAAACCTATTGGAAACTTGGATTAACCCTTCCAGGGCTATGGTTGTTTACTTTCCGGGCTAAAAACGGATATATCCGTCCAGAGAAATTTCTTTTCTGGGATAAAGACGGATATATCCGTCCAAAAATAGAATTGAAATACAATGTTTATAATACGGTAATATTCATTACACTGCATTATAATTGGGTTATTTTGTTTTTGTGGTTGGCAATAATAATTGCCGCAGCTGTTTCGGCTATTTTGTACCTGTAAGTAGTCGGAGTGTGCGTAAGTAAATATTGCTGTCATTTCACACATGGTTGTTAGTGAGTGATGTTTACATTTTGTGTTTTGTACTTTATTTTTATGTTATTGAGCTAAAGTTACTAATGTAAACTAAAGATGTTATTAGGATGCTTAATAAAATTATCTCTGAGTGGGGTTTTATACTTGGCAGTGAAAATAATAGTATGGAATGTGATGGATATGATAAACCTGAAGAACAGTCTTTACGTAGTGGAAGTCTTGGCGGGAAATGGGATTGAGGGCATGGGAGGGAACTGAGTGGTTTAGATTTATTTCAGAATGATAGATACATTTTTATGGATAAAAAATAAAACAAGGGAAGGAATAGCCTAAGGTTGACGGATATATCCGTCTGCCGCCCACAAGAATACTCAAGATTATTGGCAGTGTTCATATTTTATGATTATCACTGAGGGCGGCAGACGGATATATCCGTCCACCTTATGTTTTTTGTGGGCCAAAGACGGATATATCCGTCAAATCAAATTTTCTTCATAACTTTTGTACAAAAATTATTTCAGCCCTAAGGAAAATCTTTTTATGATCCATGAATTATATCAAGTGAAATAGATACAAAACACAACCACTTTAGTTTTTAATTTTTGTCAAAAAATAATTAAGCTCCAGCCCTTCATTTAATTTAGCTCTGGAAGGGTTAATATGGTTTTCATTCATTTTAAAAATAAACTCATTGTTTTTCAAACATGAAATACAACATAATATGATAGGTGTTGTGAAATTGTGTTATAAAGATGTTTAGGTTTAAATCCTAAGGATTAAGGTTTAATTTTTAGAAAATTTGTTACTGTAAAATTAGGTGGAGCAAAAAATTTAAAATGTAAAACCACAAACTCACCCAGCCCCGGTCAGACGAGCACCTAGAGCCCCTGCAGCCATGGCCACCGCGACTAGTCTGTCTAGTTGTACGTGACTACACTCGTACAGGTCACGTAGGCTCACGTGACTCTCAGACATCAGGTGGCCGAGCTCGGCTAGTGAACAGCCATCTGTGCAGCCCGCCTCAAACTCAGCCACTCTTTGAGCCTCTTCATAAACACACAGCAATCAATATTGATTACGGGGGTTTTTTCTACACTTTTTAGATAGGTTGGGGAACTAACACCTTTAATGCTGTATATCTCTCCTATGCTATTTGTCTGATTTTTACGATTGTAAAATTTTGAGGTGGGTTAGTTTATCATTCTACAAAATATTTTGAAGGGCCAAACCAAAAAGAAGATAAATGTATTGACTATAAGATTGTCACAGAATTCAAGGTTTATTAGATAAATGTGTGTTGGTGGAGGATACCAACATAGTTTCTCATCAAGAATAATGCAAGATGTTGAACAACTACTCAAAATAAACAAATTATTATTATTTCTTAGGGCATGGCAAAACACCATTCAGGTATATTATCCATGACACACAAATATTGTCCTAGTAGATAACTATATATTGAGACACTATGCCAAGCTTAAAATTTAAGTATTTGTATTCTAATATTTGCATTAGAAGTGAAACTACCCATTTAACCAGGCTCTCAACTGCTTTTAAAAAACACTTTTAATTTTATTAAGTTAGGAACAATCTAGTTTAGACTAATTTAGGAAACAACCTTGCATGTCTCCTTGTTTCAATTAGTAAAGAAAGTAATATTTGTTTGCCTAAACAAAATTACCAAACCAAAAGTGCAAACACTATCCATTCAGCTTCAAAACTATGAAATCAGAATAACATAAGTAACCTATGCAACAGATATATTACCTATATGTTTGTAGGACAAGATTTAAAGAAAAAAATGCATCATGGACAATCTAACTACTCTCGCAAGACAAATAAATGTTACAAAATGAAAACTTAATCTAGATTTCTTTAGGAAACACAACTAATATTGCAAAAATTCTCTAAAACACAAAAATTCAGGGAAATCTTACCTTGGAATACATGCAGTGCTCTTTGGAATAGTTTGAAATGCTGAACATGTTCGGTGTTTGAGGTCAGAGTGATTTCATTCAACTCCTTTTCTGTCACATCCAATATTTTGCACAGCTGTAACACAATTAATGTTGTCTTAACTCTTTGAAGCACTGCATATCATTCTAACATTATAAGTAAACAATATATAGCAAGCATCAATTCTAAACTGACCAAAGACTGCAACTGACATGGTAGCAGTCATGGAGACTGCCTAGAACTAGTAATTTAGAATGACTGGCTTTGTTAGATCAATCGACTATTATTTTTTGAATCGATAACCAAGCAGTCTTTGCTACATTTACTGTAGCTTATCACACACAGCTTCGTTACATATATTTCTACATTGCGTGTGGCATGTTCACCAGTGGGGGTCGTATACTGGCCCATTGGCAGAGCAATGCCAACTTCTATAGGTTAGTTTGGCCTAGCTACTCATGCTAGAAGGATGGGATATGCTCCCATTTTGAGGTTACGAGTGTATGGCTTCTTTTGTTTGTGGTTTTGCAGTATTTTTTGTGGTGTGTCTGGGTATTTGTCCCCAGCCTTTTCCCTGCATTAGTCAGTACTGAGGGCCAGTTAGAAATGTTATTCAGTGCTACTATCTGTTAGATTAGATTCTTGTACAACTATGGCCAAAAACATTGGAACATAGTAAGTTTACTTGCTACACTGTGGCTTTTATATTGGATGAAACTGAATTTAATATTTTCACACACTCATCTACACATTGTATTGGCTGTTTCCCTCCCGGCCGTGACCAGCCATTACGCAACTGCAGCAAATGTGTTAACACGTTCAGTACTGACTACATCAATTGATGTAGTACATCACGAGCGCTCATGGCGGACTACATCAAAAGCTGTAGTCGCACCACGCTAACTATATTGGTACAGTGTGAGCTCAGATATAGACGGGGAACGTTGTATCGCGTGTCAGCCTGTTGTGCCAGTTCTCGAGTTTATTTTGGCACGAATCATTTTCAGCTCCGGGTTTTCACTTCGGCACGGGACCGTGGTAATATCTTACTTTTGTGTGGTGTGTGTAAATGCGGTGGGTGGGGTTGTAAATAGTTTTTGAATAGTTTTTACATTTTTCTATAATTGTCTTCTCTGTAGAACAGAGTTTTTATAAATAACAATAACTCATTCTTTGACATTGTGTGTGTGAACTAATTTTTTGCATTGCCGATCGTTCTAAATGACACTTGGACGGATTGTATATAATTTTCTGTGGTTATTAATTATTATTCCAATAATTACCAAATTTTTTGTCAAGAAACAAGTTTGTGGGTCATTAGATACAAATGTGACAGTGAACGGACTACTTCTTCTTCACGGGGACTCAGCAAACCGGCCCCTCTGGCGGACTACATCAATTGATGTACCGGAAGTGACGTCACCAATATTGACCAATATGGAGGCCTGGGGATCTTCTAATGGCATTTTGGATGCATTCACATAATTTACTTGGAGATTTATCAATAATCATATTTCAGCACTTTAGGCATGCAATACTAACCCATTTCAGCACTGAACGTGTTTAAAAAGCAACATACCTTAATAAATTTCCCAAGTATTTTTTTGTTTTGAAATAGATTAGATCGGAATAGTTCAATTAGTTTTACTTTTTTAAGAAATTTGTCACTTACCTCAATTTTAGTATACGGATCTTTATGGAGAAGCTCTTTCACAATCTTAGCACATTCGCCGAGAGTTAATTTGGCAGAAGTTTGAAAATCAACAAGTCTTAAACATTTTTTCCAGGGAAAACCTCTTATTTTGGCAAGAACCTGAAACATGTCTAAGTAAGGGAAATTATAATGCAGTGCAAGTTCTCAGACAAATTATTGTTAAAAGCTACGCCAAATTTGATTAACAGTTTGAACAGATAAAAAATCCCAAATAATGAATTACTATCAATATTAATAATATGAAAAGGGATGGACAAGACTGGATTTTAAATTTGAGAGGAGATTCTTTTTCTCATCATAAATCGAGACGAGATTACAAATCTTACTACTATCGGTAATTACTCGTGTGAGCAGTTTTACAATACGGTTAAAAAATAACAAGTAAGCACTATTAAAACAACAACTAAAGTACAATAACTTATTATTTCTTACAAAGGTTGATACAAACAGGAGAGTACAAAATAAGAAAAAGCTTTTACAGGAACTTAAATAGTTATGAAAATCTCACATAAGAAAAATACCCCCGCCGCAGCAAACTTGCAGACTAAGCGAATTTCCATTTGCCTGAATTGATTTTAAAATAAATATATTTAAATAACATTAGGTTTAACGAGTACCTAGGTTTGCTGCTACAGAGAGGCTAAAAAATTGAGTTTTTTAGTAAAATATTAAAAGCTTAGTATAAAATGAATAGATTTGCCAAAATTTTGATCAAAATATTTACATAAACAAGCAAACTACAACATTTTACAATATTCTCCTTAAGAACATGGGAATTTCAAATTTGCAATTTTTTTAATTTTCCCCGTAACCAATAACCATACAAAAACACTTTGGTATAAAAAATTATGAGTTTTTAAGCTCTTTAAAATGGTCTAGAGATAAATTGGGAAATTTTGTGTTTTGAGGCAACTACCAGAATAACCCATTTTTTAGATGTGTTTACACAGTTTAAAACGCCTTCAGAAAATCTATGCAATAGGAACGTGTTGTTGTTAATTTCCTTTGCAAATGCGGTTCTTAATTTTTAATTTTTTTTAATAATCTTGTTCGAAAAAGTTTCGGAGAGAAATCCTTCTCACTTCAACTAACGAGATTTTTTAAATCTAAAAAATTCTAGACCAGTCCATCTCTATAAGAAATGTACCTAATAGACATTTGAAAACAACTCCTTGTTATATATAAGTGACAAAATTTGCAATTTTTTAGTCTTAACATCAAGGGGACATTTTCTGTCTATTAATAATAATAAAGTCTATTATTGTTGATAATCCCTAACAATGTGAGTTTAAGATCCAAATCCCATGGATAAATTTCTGCTGAATGTCATTTAAAACCAACAACCAACCAGTGTTGGGAAGTAGCGCGCTACAAGTAGCGACGCTACAGTAGCGCGCTACTTTTTTTGTAGCGTTAGCTGTAGCTACGCTACTTTTAAGATTTTGTAGCTTTAGCTGTAGCTAGCTACATTTTTAAAGTAGTTGTAGCGGAATTTTAGCTACTTTTCTCGCTACATTAACATTGTTTGAGATAGTGATTTTTATCATAACCTCAACCTTACGTGAAACCTTTCAAACTGAGATTTTCAAAAAAATTAGGCCTACTTTCTTGGCTTCATACAGCTGGTTGCAGCCGTTTCATTCCCTATACAATGTTGTGTGGACATGGAGGCCATTAAATGAGTGTTATCCACATTTTTGGCTCTCATTTCCTTAATTTACTACTCTATGATTACTGTCAGATTAAATAAAATCGCTAGATGCAGACGACTTTTAAACCTTACCGGTGGGCGGTGACGGTGACAAGAGAAGCTATTGAATGCTTGCAATTGCAAGTGATCGACAGGGAAATTAGTAATCAATTTAGTTTCTTTATTATATCGATAGTGTTTCAACTTGGGTTTTAATGGAAACCAACACTAAACCTCAAAATAATGAGAAAGCTGGTCTATCAACCTTTGCTTCAGCTGTTGATTGTGGTTCATCATCACAAGCCCTTCCTTGGCTAGATTACGAAGATTTTTCAAAGGTTTACTAAATTAACAAAGAAGAAATTACCTGATGTGATTAAAGATATACCTAGACTAAATGATAATTATAACGAAAAAATCTCCATATAACATGAAACTTACATTGAAAAAATAGCACAGTTTGCTCCTGCTAACAGCTCTTGTATAGGCTAATCCTAGGCTACGCTATGGTTTAAGACGAATACCAAGTTCCAAGTTCAATTATTAGGAATATATCTGTTTAGTCCTTGCAAGAACAAGCCTACTATAGCCAACTAAAAGTAAAAGTAAAAATAACATATAGGCCTACTTGGCTATGTAACACCAAGTTTGCCTATATGTTATTTTTACTTTACAAATTTCCACATGTTTAAATTAAAAGCCGATTTCAGGATAAGTTGCTGAATACTGTTTTCTGTACCAACTAGGTTGAAGCACAATTTGCAATTTGCCCTATGCATAATGACAATAAAAGACGATTTCTTGACACTGAAAAGTGTTATTCATTGAACAAGTAACTTATCACTTTGGTTAAAAGTTATAACAATGTCGTTTTTAACATTAAAAGTTAAGAAAGGCAATAAACTCCAATTTCAGTAGGCTAACTTAGGCTCTGTAACACCAACAAGTATTTTTAAATAATCGTATTACAGTTCTATTGGTCTTAATTGTTTATACAAGACATCTATAAATGAATCTATACTAAAGAAATAAAATGAGCTTTTAAAATATAGTTTGGTTGTAGGTCTATGTCCTTTAAACTTAATGAAATTTACATACAAGATGCTTAAAAATAATGCAATATTTAAAAATAAGTACTAAATATGATGGGAAACCCAACTATTTGGTTCTGTTGTTTTAATGTTAGGTATATAATGCCAACAAATTAAATACAATCTAGGAATAATTTGTTTTCCATGTAATGTTAGACACAATCATTGACTATATATACCTGTAGGTATATAGGCCTATACAATGATATACAATACTGACATTTTTTGTTTAAATGTTTGTTCAATAAAAATGTAGTTGCAATTAATTTTACATTTACCTAATTTGCGTGGAATAAAAAGTAACGTCTTTGGAAAAGTAGCTAAAATTGTAGCTGTAGCTACATTTCATTGTAGCTGTAGTTGTAGCTAGCTACTTTTTCGGAACTGTAGCTGTAGCTGTAGCTAAGCTACTTTTTTGGAAATGTAGCAGTAGTTGTAGCTAGCTACATTTTAAAAGTAGCTTCCCCAACACTGCAACCAACTTCAAAAACTGATTCACCCCAAAGTAAATACCATAACACCTAAGAATTTTAGGCAACAAGAATTGTCCTATTCCTACTTAATTTCTATGAAACAGTACCACTTAACAGTATAGCCAACGTTAATTAGGTTAAAAATGTAACACTATACATTTTTGATCAAACAGTAACTTACAGCAATAAACACTTTACACCAGATTTGCATAACTGTATATTACAACTGGAATAGCTCTGCTATTCTAGTATCTAATATTTGGTCATATTCAACAATCCTGCATTTGATGGGTCTGAATAAGAATTCCAAAATCAATCGAAAGATTTTGGTAACGTATAAATAGTAGAGTTTATAGAATGTTAGCGGAGATTGAGCATATTTAGTAGGTACGGCAAATCACATTAGAATTATAAAAATGGCCTGATATAGCCCTTGTAACTCAGTATTTGAGTGGAGACAATTTTCAATAATTCAGCATTTACAGTAAGACGGTACTGTCAGATCTAGACTCAAGAGTCTACTTTTAAACAAGATTACTACTGGATTAAAAATTAGATGACAGTATAGTGGTGTTATGTCTAAATGAACTAATTCACCATTATTTGAACAATAACTGTCGAGTAGCCTATAATTTTGCTCAAAACGACAACCAAGCCACAAAAGCTATGTTGATCTCACCTGAGCAGCAAGCCTACACTCGACTACTCGAGTGTTAAAGTCGTTACTGGCTGCTTTGTTTTTGACAGCCAAGCTATGGGCGACCACAAACACAGCCCCGGCTGGCAGAGTTACATCCCTTGTTCTCAGCGGGGAGAACTCTATCAGCTTGGCATTTCCTACAAGTAAAAACCATTATCACCCAAGTTTATTACAAGATTCTACAGTAGTCTATCACACAGGCCTGGGCTGAGGGTATGGAAAGCTCCTTGCAGAAAACGGAGTCCAGACTCGAAGACAATTTTTGAAATTAAATAAGCTGAAAACTATTTTTAACACTATTTGGAGGATAAAATACAGATTTTGGTAAATTTGGTGCTCTGGTCTGATTGCTAAGGCTATACCGGTAGTATAGTCTACACCCTTGCCGAGTCATGACTAGATCTAGTGAGCAATAAAGTGTACTTGGGTGCCTTAGTTATGTCTCATTCTGCCTCTCCTAGCATCAGGCATTTTCAATAATTGGAAAACAGCATGAAATAAGTTGTTGACGATATGAATTTTGGTAGGTGGTAGGTAGAGATATTGTGTGATTAAGAAACAAATATTTAACCTCTAAAATGTATAAATCAAACAAGAAAATTACCTTCAGAGGCCAAAAAAATGATAGCCTGGTCCATTCCTCCTCCTACAGTGCCAATATAATGTTCGGCCTCTGCACTTAGAGCTGCTAGCTCCGTTCTGGAAAGGTTCAACTGTTTGGAACAGTAAAATCCAGTTAACAAAAAGAAACCATTCAATACAAATAGTACGGTATTAGGATAGTCGGGACTCATATTTTTGGTTTCACTTATGGACACATGTTTGTGCATCCAAAAATTACATTATGTATGTTATTAGTTGTTCGGTTTCAACATTTAATAGCGAGAAATATTCATCAAACATTTTTATAACGAGAAATATTTGTCCAAAAGTAAATATTTAGCCAAAAGTTAATTTTAGGAATCTATTTTAGAACAATTTAATTCATCTAGCCTACAACATAACTTAAGAATGGTACACTAATGCAATACAAGTTTTCAACGAGAATATATATGTTTCAAATCAGAGTAGTGGCAAAACAAATCTGATTGGGAGTAGATCCATATCTTTGGAGTGTTTAAAAAGTAAATACAAAAATGGGCTTTATTTGTAAGAGAAATTATCAGCATAGGTTGTCAACATTCAATTCGTAGAGTGGTAAACTTCAACTTCATAAGCTTCATTAACAATTTTTGGAGTAAAATAGATCTTGGTTAGATAATATTGTCGTTATTTCAAAATTATCACCTATAGTATATTATTTTAATTAGGAGATATTTTTTTTACTCAGCAAATAAATTTAAAAATAAAATTGTAATAAAAATACAAACATCTTTAAAGTTCTTCAACTAGATAGAAAATCTCAAATACATATTGCTGATCATCTTAGAATCTTCATCGGTTATTTACTTTTTTATTATCTAGCAAGTTATTTACTTCATAGTTTTCATGTCAATTGCCTTGAACGAACGGCCTTGAAATAACTGTCATTGCCATCTTCAGTAACCTGGTATTAAGATAAGATAACAGTAAACTAGACTTGTTAAAGAGCTTATTGCTTTCCAAAGTTGGACAGTTTTTCATTACAAATCTACAGGTATTGAAACTCATTGGTATGAGAATTCAAACAGAGCTAGTTTAATGTGTTTTCCTCTGTCAATTATATAAAATTGTGTGTGTAGGAGAGTTTATTAACTCCCTGAATGTTTTGTAGAGGACAGAGTTGTTTCAAAGATATGATTACATAATGACTGAATCCTTTATCAGTGTAATTGACCCTTGGAGGTCAATGGCCTAGCCTATGACAGTTCTAGGTTTGACTACATATTTGAAACTAAAAAGTATTTTCAAACACCATTTCTAATATATTTAGATGATATCTTTCAGTGTGTACGTAGTGTTATACTTTTTTATAAATACACCAACCAATATATAAAGATAAATAAACTAACCTCGATCACTGTTATTTCGGCTATGTTCTATAGGAATTTATATTTTGTAACTAATCAAAAAAGTTAAAAAGTGTCAAAAATATTCAGTTGATGTTAAACTGGATAAGTATTCACAAGTGATTTTTCGGCCTACTTGGCGAGGAGTTTAATTTTTTCTCACTATATCGGTTCCTCTTAGGCAGTAAGTTACTCATGATAGCAATAGTTTTCGGATACTTGTTAGTTAAAACCCAACATCGAATGCAACAATGTTTTTTTTTATTCCTAGCACGACCTTCCTAGCATGATTGATAAAGGGTGCGCCAAAAAAACCTGACGGTTTCTGTTTTGTAATAAGTCAGCTGTTATACTAGCTAGAGACCTCATTGTTGTAGTGAACGATTGCTTATGTTATGCCATTTTTAGGTTATGTTTGGTAAAACATCACGTCGTTAAAAGAAAGTTACTGTCTAGTGTGGTGTGGCACTGTTTGGAGTCATCGGACTATATGTTTTTGAGGACGAAAGTGGGAACACCCCCCTGTCACTGTGAACTCGGAACGCTATTTGGAAATCCTGAGGGGGTTTTTGGTTCCGCAACTGCTGATGTTATGAGGGATAGACATGAATAACACGTGGTTTCAACAGGACGGCGCAACTTGTCATACAGCCAATTATTCAATGTCAGTTTTGCGTGAACTCTTTGCCGGTAAAGTGATCTCTTGGTTTGGTGATGTGCTGTGGTCAGCTTGATCCCCAGACTTAATTTTGACTGTTGGCCTTGGAGATACTTAAAAAGCAAAATGTTTGTTTCGAAATTTCAAACCATCCCTGAACTCAAGCAGTGTATCAGGGAAGAGATTGCTTCTATTCATCAGGCGAAGGTGACTGTAAATATGCAAAAAATGGTAAGCCTGTGTTTAGGAGAAGGCGATATAAACTGAGTGACATAATTTTTCATAAATGAAAATGGCATAGTAGTGTGTACAATATAACATTATTTAATACATGAAATTGTAGTTTGTTCTTGAGTTATTTAGTATTAAAAAACCGTCAGGTTATTTTGGCGCACCCTTTATTAAGTATCTTTCTCTAACACTAAAAAGACACAGAGAAAAAAAAGGCACAAAAGGCAAAAAGGTAAAGGCACAGAGAAGTAAGGCACAGATTAAACTTGGTTAAATTGGGATGTTTCCATTGGATGTTTCCTCTGTACCATACCTTACTTCTCTATGGTAAAGGTAGCTAACCTTGTTAGCTAGCGCTGTCACCATTGCCCCTGCACACACAAGGGCGCTGGAGCTGGACAATCCAGACCCAGGAGGGATGTTGCCTGCCACAGCCATCTGTATTGAGACCGGAGACTTGCCCTGGCTCACCAACAGCTCGATCACTTTCTTAACTCCACACAACACATAGCTTGCCCATCCTGTGGTGGGTAGACTGAACCTTTGAATCAACAGGGATATTATCAGACAAAAACAATGGATGACTCATTTTGTTAGAGTAACGTAAGTCACCTATTTTGACAATGGATAGGTAGGTTAGGTCACCGACATTTCTGTTGTGGTAACTCATTCAAACTTACATTAACAAATTGCCTATCAGCCTTACATCGCATCTAGACACCTCCAAGGGTGGTTTATGTTTGGTTGGATTGAGTAAGTTGTGTTTTGGTGTTACCTATATAACCATTCCCTTACAGAAAAAGTAAAATCGCCTTTGAGGTAAGCACGCCCCTAAAAAAGAAATATTAACCTATCCATACAAATACAGAAGTTCAGAAGACTAGCCTCAAACCTGTAAGGTATTGTCTATCAGCTTACATAAATAGAAAATTAACTTACTACTTGTAGACCTAATTATAACATTCTCAGATTACTTGCGAGCAGCTGGTGAAATTTTCTGGAATATAATTAATTTTTCAAAAAACTTAATCTTAATTAAACTCACTTGAAATCAAATGTATCGATGGAATATTCCTTGTAATTTTCTTCATCCTGATTGTATATGGATAGGAACTGACCGTGGACTGAAGGACAGAAAGCCACAAGAATGTCTTGTTCCAGAGCCAACGGACATACAGAGTAACCACAATAGTCTATGTGTTCTCCAATAAGATTAACCCTTCCTGGTACTCGTAGATATAACGATGGTTTAGCTTTAAATTTGCAAGAAAACTTCTCCCTGAGCAGGTGAAGACGATTTCTTAGGCTTGATTCTTCAGGAAAATCATTTAATGTCGGCACTGCATGTTCACAATTTCCATTTCCAAGCTTCTCCATTGAATCTGCTAAAAATCATTAAAAATGAAACCTAAGTTAATTTAGATTAGGCCTAATGTATGAGTCTATCATATTATGCCTAGTCGATTTTTTCGCACAACTTAGATAGGCCTATTTTAGCCTACTACATTAGTTATCGATTGTTACAATCAAGATAACTTAACTTAGGCTTAGAAGATTAGTTTTTGGTTAAGTTAAGCCAACTTAAGTTTGGTTATCAATCAAATTGATACTTTTATGTTCAATAAGTTAGTAACCAACCCTTCTCTTGAGGGTTGAGACGTCACTCTTTGTTGTTTGTTGACTTAGTTGGATTTAAATAATCGATATTGTTAACTATATCAATTAGGCCTATAAAACTGCCATAACCTAACCTAACTAATCAAACTTGCTTATAATAAAAAAAATCAAATGAAGGTTTACAAACCGAAAAAATAGTTGTGTTCATAAAATAAAATTATAAATGCCTCAAATGCTAAGAAAAGGTGTAGCCTACAGTTAAGAAGTATTCGAATTCCAAGCAAAATCTTTGACAGTAAGTTAGTGTCACCGGTGGGATTGAATCTGGTTACTTCTTGTAGCCTACATCAGGCGAGTAACTTACTCTATCCAGCACACCACGATCACCGATGGCTGCACTTCGTATTTTTGCGGTAAGTTAATAGTGTTCCCTCAAGAGAAGAAAGTGACGTCACGCCATGACAGCCTATAAAACGCTTTCTTTTTGTGCGTATCGAAAAACCGCAGCTGAAATAAGAATTGTGCTGCACGCATTAAGTTAACGTTGAAAAATATATAATTAACTTATAAGATCAACAGTGCCTGTTTACTTGGGCCTACATCTGTTGATTAAAAGACTTCCAATAATGTCGCATAAGTTAGGGTACAGGCCTAACTTACATAAAAATTAGTGCTTTAGGCTATGTTGAATTTTATTAGGGTACTGGTTAAACCCCATATTGAGCAAAAAATCTTAGTAGGCCTACTTATTCCTGAAGCTGAGCTTAACTTTAAGAAGATTATGGTTCAGGCTAATGCTATGTAAATTAGCCTAATTTAAACATCAGAATGCAAGCGTTTCATAAAAACTATTTTCTTGGATTCCCATGAACTAACTTGGTGACTTTGAACCAACCTTTTTTACTGTACGCAATGCTTTACCAATGAATTGGCTGCACTTTACTTGACGTCCTACACTCATTCGAATGAAAATATCGATCGATATATCGATTAATCGGTTACTTCATTCAATATATCGTTTGGTTAGTTAGGTAAGGTTAACCTAACCTAACTAACCAAACGATATATCGAATGAAATAATCGAATGAAAATATCGAATCGAAAAACCAATCGAATGAGGGTAGGACGTCAAGTAAAGTGCAGCCAATGAATTAATGTAATAATAGTATTGGTATTAATAATAATAGGTAATTTATAACCTACCTAGCTTTAGCAACCTGATACTTAGATTTTTACACAATAAAAATCATAGTCTCTAAGTTATCAACAGACTAGGCCTAGTCTAGCCTATAGGCTATCATTGAGTGAAGGTTTTCTAAAGATGCTATTATCAAAGATAATACCGGTTCTTATCTTTTTAAGTAAATTTGATCTGCCTAAGTTAGTGAAACTAAAGAAATCCTAAATCAAATCCTACCCTTGCCCAACCGCACCGCGTATCCCTTTTTTGTTTTGTTGATGTTGACGACGTTTAATTTGACGTTTAAAATCTCACTTATGTCATTTTGACGTCGTGGTCGTCGATGTTTTTTTTACTTCTACAAAAATTACTTTTTTCCAAGCCAAGTAACCAACTCAACTTCTGAAACCTAAGGAGCGTAAACCCATTGATTATATATCTTCCTATATGGGATAGTTCATATATAATCAGCTAGCCTTAGATTTAAAATCCTAAATTTAGCTGTATCGATTTGGATGTATTTCGTGTTGTTTGAGAATTGTTTACCCGTTATAAAAATAGTATATTACGTTTATAGTCCTGAAAATAAGTTTTTACCGGACGAGTGTGGTCGTTCCCGTGCGAGACGAAGTCGAGTACAGGACAGGAGAGGTTATGATCACTAAGAGAGGTTGAGGTTATGTTTTTGTTTATAGCCATTCATTGCCACCTAAATACAGTATAATCAGCTGATTGGTGTCCGATAAATTTCCTACCCAGGGCCGAAAATGAGGTTTTGCGGGCTCGAGATATTCCAAGTTCGAGACGATGTCGAGATTCGAGAACTTCAAAACGATCTAGAGCTGCAAAACCATTTCGGTCCGTGGTACGAACGCTATTCTTCACCACACTAAACCCTATTACCACTATTCGCCACAATAATAATGCACACTGATAGTCAACACAACTACAAATTTAACACGTTGCCTACCAGCCGTCACACTTCTCTGTGTGAGGACTCTTGTGTGCTGGTGGTGAATGTGTTAACACGTTGCCTACCAGCCGTCACACTTCTCTGTGTGCGAGGACTCTTACCGGTACTGTGTATTTAATATGCATTCATGTTTTAAGAAAGTAAGCGGGCAGCTGATTTTGCGGCCCTAGGGATGTAAAAACCTGCTCGGTCCCCAAATGACGATGACAGCTGGGAGCTGGCATGGCCAGCAAAACGTAACTTTCAGCCACCAATTAACGTATGTAAAACAGCTAAAAACATCATAGTGTGAGTGTAGTACCTAAAAAGTGTATTGTCCGTTTCTCTTACTCTACGGATATATTAAAAAATAAAAAATACCCCCGCCGCAGCAAACCTGCAGACTAAGCGAATTTCTATTTGCCTGATTGGATTTACACTAAAATATCTCCTTAAAAATATCACATTTATTCCCTATTTAAATAGAATCAGTTTAACACATACTTAGGTTTGCTGCAACAGGGAGGGTAAAAGTGTTTTTTTATGTAAAATGTTAATAGTTAGTAAGAAATAAAAACATTTTCCAAATTTGGGCAAAACATGTTAATAAACAAGCAAACTACAACAGTTTACTTATTCTCCATAAGAATACAGTAACATGAGAATTTTAAATTTACAATTTTTTGGAATTTTCTCCGTAACTATTAGGCGCATTATAACGTTTCAATATACCAAATTATTTGTTTTTTTATGTTCTACAAAACTGTTTGGAAAGAAATTGCAAAATTTTATGCTTTTTGGTTCAAAAATGGGAAAACCCCATTTTTACCCCATAAAAGCCCCCATAAACCCCCGTTCCCATGGTCCGATCATGCTCGTTCGAATAAACGTAGGTTTACACGTTTGTACCAAATTTCATCAAAATCGGGTCATTTTTGCTCGAGTTATCGCGCTAACGGACACATATATATATATGATTTTGAACGGATGGTGTTTTTGGCCTCTAGGGACCTCAAAACGAAAAAAAAATTGGTCCCAGGTCCAGGTCTTACCATGAGTACTACGGTAATAGCTTATTCCCTATATGGGAAATTCGCTAAAACAGAAACCAAAATTGATATTATGAATAAAATTAATAAAATCTGTGTAAAACTCTTAGATATGGATTAAAAATACTCCCTTGTGTAAGTTGGGGTTGATATTGCCAGTAAATTGAGAAGGACGCCTTTTCCTATTTTAACCCAAATGAGTGGAGGATGAGTGTAGAATGAACTACGCCTTTGTGTAGCTTTGTTACTGACTAGTATAAGCACAGAAAACGTACTACTATAACCCAGAATGCCAACCGCATGGTAAAAAGCATTAAGCGGTTTGAGAGAGCTTTGCCTGTCAATCCGTAGGCAGCGCCACCAGCGTTGCTATGCTATTGCATGGCAACGCTGGTGGCGCTGCCAAAGGATTGACAGGCAAAGCTCTCTCAAACAGCTTAATGCTTTTTACCATGCGGTTGGCATTCTGGGTTATAGTAGTACGTTTTCTGTGGTATAAGTGACTAATACAAACTGTTTTACTAGCCAAGGCCATTTATTAAAAGCCCAATGATCAAGGACAGGACAGCTTTTGGTCTTCGTCTACTTCAGCTACTTAGTAGTAGTACCTAACCTTTCAGAGGATCTGAACTGATGACCTTTTGATTACTCGGTGAGCACCATAACAACTCAGCTACCAATATATAATATTTATCCTTGAACTCCCCTCCTCCCGCTAGTGATGCGTGATTGAGAGATGTTTGAACAATCGAAATGTTCCTTCTCGAGATGTTCCACTTATGGATTGTTTCGTTTGCTTAGCGAGAGGTTTGTACAATCGAGATGTTTCTCTCGATTGTTGCCTAAACGTCTGTTCGCATCTGTCTACATTTCATGTTAGTTCTTTTTCTATATTCTTATAGAATAGTCGCCTTATGCACAACATATATACTGCTGACATATGAATAAGCACTTACGTCACTCCGTCATGGCAACAGAAATAGAAAATTATTTTAAAGTAATGGATAATGGTAAATAATACTGTTAACATAACGAGAACCTTCTGTCTTGTTATAAACATTTTGACTTAAATACAAAACATTTTGTTTGTAAAATATATTGCCTTGTCAATAGTTTTTATTGAGTGGTATTAAGTCACTATTCCGTAGATAAAGTAAGTAATATATCCATAAACCTTCCTTGGTTTGAAGTAAGATATTATACCTCTTATTGGGGGTCAATCCCTGGCAGATACAATAGAAATTCGATGATAATAAATGACAATGCCGCACTTAACAAAACAATCGCCATGAACATCTTGTTAAAAACACTCTTGCTAAGGGCTTCTCGCCTGTCGGTTCTCTAGACGATGCGAGATATGAGAGAAAAGAAGCCGTGCTGAAACGAAACAATCGTCAATATCTCGTTAAAACCTCTCGCCTCTCGGTTCTCTAGACAAATGCGAGATACAAGAGAAGAGAAGCCATGCTGAAACAAAACAATCGTAAAATCGTCAAGAACATCTCGATAAAACCTCTCGGTAAAGAACCTCTCGCTAAGCAAAACGTCTCGAGAGTCTCAAACAATCGAAACGTTTTGATTGTAACATCTCGCAATCGCGCATCACTACCTCCCAAATGCCAAAAGAAACTAACATGACTTTAAACCGAATAGAAGCATTTCTGCCACTTTCTTACTGACAATGCCAATTAAAGTATACATTGACATAGCGACTGAGCAAATTTATAGACCAAGTTAAAATAAAAGATTCCTAGAAAGTAAGATGCTTTTAAAGTTAATTGGCATTTCCTAGTTGGGGAACATAGGTCTCCAGACTCATATGTAGACTTCATCATCCCACACCATTCTACACTCATCCTTCACTCATATTTGGGTTAAAATACGCACCTAGGTGGCGTCCCCATCTCTATAATTGATCATTGATAATTGATAATATGAAGACTTCAATAAATTGTTCAGCTAAAGAAGTTATTGGATTGAACTATGACTAATCCTGACACTTATATAGGATTTGACAATTTTGGGAGTATTTTCCCCACACAAGGTTAAAAAAGAAAACTATCAAGTAAAAGTATGTCCTTTAATAAAAAATATATACAAAAATATATTCATGAAAAATTATATTATGGTAACTGGTACATGACAAAAATATATTTGAAGTTAACACACCAAAATACTTTTTATCACACTATAGTTTTCTACCGAGATTACTAATCCAAATCTAACACTTTATCCATCTAAATATGCTGGAAAAGCATTAAAATCACTAACATTTGATGACCACTAATAGTGGAAGACTTGATTGTTTAACATTAGTATTGGTAACATAAGTATTGTTAGCAGGCCAGGAAGCCACCATCTACAGGAAGTGTGACAGCGTTCACCATTGGAGCAACATCACTCAGGAGGAAAATTATGGTATTTACTACCTCAGACACCTCTGAAACAGTTGAAGGCAACATTTCAAGAATATGATAAGAATTCCAATTTGTTTTCAAGAATATTAAAAAACCTATCTCAATGATTTACTAGGTAGAGTCAATACGTTTTCAGTACTTTTCTTTAGAGACCACAGAAAATCTTTCCTAATGCATTCAGACACTTCAGGACCACACCCTTGTCCAAACCAAAAAAGTCTGAATGGGTAGTTTTGTAAACAAGATAATAGGAGTGGGCAGTTACCAAACAGTATGGTAAAAATACTCAAAAATGAAGAAATAAACCCAGAACATCAGTATGGTATGCAATGAACAGCGCTGAACAAACAAGCAGAAAACTGTTTCTATGTAGCTAAAAACTATGCAGTTAAAGCATGTATGTGATACTGAGTTGGCCGAGAGAATCATCTGAAGCCAAACCAAACAAGAAAGTCTTTTGGGCCAACATGTTTTGGGAATGAGAAACAGTTAGTACCATCCTAGGGAGTAAAACATAATTAAAGATGGCTTAGTTCAGTTATACCAATGAATACAAATGCTTTAAGAAGCAAAATGCTCATGGAGAATAGTCAGACTGGAATTTTGCCGTCGAAATGAGCTTCGCCCAGCAGCCGCGCTACTCTATCCCTCTCTAATCCGATTCTTTGTCTCACTATCTCTCACTCAGTCAGCTGACTTGGACACACGCTCACGATAATCTACCTAGCGGCCGCAGCAGGGAATATCCAAAATTCAGACGTTCCCAGACTGAATTTTTAACAAAGGCATTGCGCTTCTTAAAGGGTTTGTATTCATTACATAAGGAAATTCAGTTCAATACAGAAGGGAAAGTTATACATAACCAGTAGAAGGGGGTTTCAATGACACA